TGAATATTAATATTTTTTTTCGGGCAGTGTTGGCAATTTGACAATTTTTACACAAATTTGCTTGTCATAAATTTTCATAAAAATGTTAGTTTGCTAACTTAACAATAGTAATTACTACGTATTAAAAACTTAAAATCGAAGATCATTTATTTGTCATAAATAATTCAATTTTGTCATTTTTGCCAACACTGCCTGCGGGTGACCGAGGTTGTACCTACTCAAATCTCTAGCCGTACACCCGAGATTTTGTGGACCAGGCCGGTCGATGTTAAGAAGCGATTTCCATTTAAATCATAAGTTGACTAAGAATCGGTTAATCAGTTCTGCAAAATTGAGATTTTAATTTGGCAGTTAACAAGTATAGATATTAAAGAACAGGCATTTATCAGAGTAAACAATTATAAATATTCATTATTCCTGGGAAAACTGAAAAAATTGATTCGCCCAAATCGATAAATTAATTGACTCGGTAGCCTATTGATTCCGGCTCAGTGACTTAATGATTCAGAGCTATTCGGTATAGTCCTAGGAATAGGATTGTTACATTTTAAGTTTACATTTCACGTATTTTCTCACGTGATGATGTAGCTCAATCATTACCGTTACCGTTACATTTAAAATAAAAACGTAAAATCATGAGTTCAAAGTTACAATTACAAATACATAAAATTACGGTAATTTTCCAACTCTGCTTAGAAACAATTAAAATAGCTGTAATTACACAAAAATGCTAACGAAGTCGGGATTTCACAGTATTAATTTATTAGATAACGATAATAACCAACATTAATAGGTCAGCCCCAGGCTTTTTCAGCCAACCCCACGATTTTTTCATCGGCCCCTATCACGATCATGCTCATATTTTATATAATTAACTGTATATTTTATGTAAGGATTGGACCCGGGTAATTTAATAATATTTTCTCAACGGGTCTACTTCTAAATTTTCAATGATGATTGTGTGTTATCTGTGGCACTTTCCATGTTCCACTTTAGCCGCTTTTTTCATGGACGCTAATCGTGTAACAGTGATTTTTCTCAGCATATTGATATTTCCCATTGCGAAATATCTCACTTCGGACAATTAGTGATATCTTCTTGTAACGAAATTATAGATTGAAGCCGCAACGTGAAATGGAAGCTCTTATTAAGGAAGCGCGTGAAATTTATGACGGTAGTGATTTGAGAGATTTGAATGATAAATATGTGAAAGACAAAGCTGTTGTAGAAAAATTAGGTATTTGTATATCAAAAAAAAAAATAATAATAATAAAAAATAAAAAAGGACATAATAAGGCTATACAAAGATAATATTTCGGTTTACATACCCAGCCGGCCGGCTTTTTTATAATATAAATGTTTTATAAAATTCCATCTGGTATTACAGCTGTTTTCATTCTGGGACAGCAAATAAAAAAATTAACCGAATAATTATACACCGACTCATTAAGTTTTTGATCAGGTACGTATCATATAATCAAAAACTTAACGAATCGGTATATATATAATTATTCGGTCAATTATTTATTAGCTGTTCCAGAATGAATGAAAACAGTTATAAAATATTAAAAAAAATTTTTTTGAGTTTTAAAACTTTGACTTATTCGGGTTATGAAAACCAATTAATTTTGTATGGCCTAAGACATATAATTATTGGGCTTTTTTTTTTTTTTTTTTTTTTAACATAACTCTTAAACAATCAGAAAAGTTGGTTCCAAGATGTCATGAAGAAATTATTAAAAAACATGAAGGTCATACCGGATCCAAACCAGGTTTTTTATATTTATATTTTCTTAATATAATTATATTTTAGTAGTTATTAAAATGAATAGTTGCAGACATTTGAAAGGTTAGAAGGTAGTTACCTCTCATATAATATAAATTTGAATAATGACATCTATACATATATTATTTTCTGTTCTAATGTCTGCAGCCTTAGAATCAAGTTGTTGCATACCAATTATTGTTATGTAAAATAGAATCGTATCCTCTGATCACTAGATTAATCAATAATTCCCTGAGCCATATTTGTACCAAACAACCTGGATACTAAATCTACTGAAATAAGTATATGGGATATTTGCAAATAAAATGCCTTCAAGGCTATATAAATCATAGTCTCTTAAGGATCATTTTAGTAAAACTCCCGTATAATAAACCATATTTTTATTAAACTACATATTTGATTAATTCCTTTTACATTTTTTATGTATTTATTTTTAGAGGTAGTAACAAATGATAGTGGAAATATTAGGTTCGAAGCGGAAGTTAAGGATATTACAACATTTGACCAGTTTATTGAGACGATGAAGACTTCGGTTATAGAAAATAAACATGTTAAACCTATCGGAACTTTTGCTGCATTTAGGTAACAAATAAAAATTATATTTTATTTTATCTTATGCTAATTAATATGGAAATTTTATTTAGCGAAATTACAGAAACAGATGGTTTTCTTTTAAAAACCGATCAATATGTTGGAATTTCCAAAACCTCTTTAAATATGTTAAAAGAGGACATTAAAACCCAAGCCGAAAAAGATGATATTGTTTATTACGATGTGAAATGTGGAATTACCATTCATGATGTTGTTAAAGAATTAAAAAAAGATAATAGGGCTTTGTTTAATTTAGATGGTTGGGGAGGTATGTTAATATCTACTCTAAATCATTCTAGATTCCTTATATGTACTTTATCGAATACTCATAAAACTTTTCCAATTTCAAGGACAACGTATAGTGAGGTATTATTATCATATTTAAAATTTTGATTTTTAAGTTTATTAATTTGATTTATTATTATTTTTCCTATAGTGTGAATGCAACATCTACTCACGGCAGCGGCGTCACCCTCCCACCATTACATTCTTTTGTTGTATCAGTTAACTTGATTGCTCCTGGTAAATGTCAAATAATATCTTTTAAATTATTTAAAAATTTAGATTTACTAATCATTGTTTTACCCCTTTATATTTTCATCACACTTAGGTGGAATGCTATATCGAATTGAACCATCTAAAGGGATAACTGATCCAAATAAATTCCATTCTCAATTTCCTAACATCAGTCTCATTCAAGATGACAAAACTTTTAACGCTAGCATAGTGCACATCGGAGCTCTTGGAGTAGTTCATGAATTAACAATATACACAATTTCTCTATATTCGGTAATTGAAACTCGAGAAGAAACAACGTGGGATCATGCAAAAACTATTTTAAAACAAAAACCTTATTCATCCAATCCCTATCTCCAATATCGTAATTGTGAAGTTTGGCTTAGTCCGTACACTAATTACACTTTAATAACCAAGAGAAATATAGCAACTCAAGAAGATAAGATGAAATATCCTAAACCTGAAATTAAAAAGTTGTTTCAAGAGTATTCAGAATTGACTTTAGTACAAGAAGTAGCAAAAATTTTAAGTGTTGGTGTGGGTGGTGCTTTGTTTTTATTGCTAAACTTGTTTCCAGCTACTGTTCCACATACGATTGAACTTTCTATGAAAACTCAACATCATAGTGATCCTATTGTTGATACTTATGATAATATTTATCCAATTGGTATGTTTTCTCTCAATTTACAGTATTATTACATACAGCAATTCTCGATATAATTTAGGGTCAAGGCAATTTATTATGATGTAATTTGAACCTTAATCCGTTATATCGAGGCTTATTATCAAGGACCATGTGTATAAGGTTTCTTATTTTAAATGATTATTTTATTTTGTGGGTCTAACAATTCATATGAAATGTATTTGTATAATATAGGATGGATCAATAATTTCAAAGTAATAGCAGTAGAATTTTCATTTTCAATGAAAAATGATAATCACCTTAATGCTATCGATGCGATTGTTCAAACACTTAAAAAGATTAGAGAAGAACATAATTTAAATATTAATGGACCAGCTTCTTTAAGATTTTCTGCTGCTTCTTCCCAATATCTTTCTATGGCTCATAATACTGATGGCGAACCTAGAGCTTATTTGGAAATGCCAATTTTACTATATGTAAGATTATTATTGTTTTTATTATTATTATTATTATTATTATATATTATTAAAATGGTTTTTTTTTTCTTTTAATAAGGAGCCACACATTACTTATTACAAGAAAACGTATGATGCATTATTACAAACAGCATTAAAATTTAATGCAAGATGTCATTGGGGTCAATATTTTTAATCTAAACTTGATAATAAGTATCTTTTAAATGCTTATGGTACAGAAACTATTTCTTTGTTTATTGAACAAATTAAAAAGTTTGATCCTCAAGGAATTATGAGCAATGATTTGTTAAATCATTTAGGATTAACACCTAATGGTAACGTTATTAATATTAATCCAATTCAAAAATTTTTTGAGGATATTAATATTAAAACAAAAGAAATATGGGAAAATTTATTTATATCTAAATAATAATTTGAATTTTATTTATTTATTGTATGATATTATATTTAAATACTGTATAAAGTTTATTATTTTTTAAAAATATAAATATATATATATATTATATTTGTTAATTATTAATTTTCTATATAATCTCTTTCTACATTATTTATATAATAACAAAACTACTATTTCT